TATATATATATATATATATATATATATATATATATATATATATATATATATATAAAATGCTAGATATCCATGCAAACTACTTTCCCTGCCCTAAAGATCCCTGTGCTCTACCTGTTCTTTCATCATGTTCCCCTACCCTCTGGCAACCACTGATCTTTTTACTGTCTCCATAGTTTTGCCTTTTCCAGATTGTCATATAGTTGGAGTCATATAGTATGTAGCCTTTTCAAATTGGCTTCTTTCAGTTAGTAATATGCATTTGGGGTTCCACCAAGTATTTTCATAGCTGGATAGCTCATTTCTTTTTAGTGCTGGATAATAATCCATTTTCTGGATAGGCTTTAGTTTATTTATCCATTCATCCACTGAAGGACATCTTGATTGTTTCAAAGCATTGGCAACTATGAATAACGCTGCTATAAACATCCCTTGGCGGGTTTTTGTGTGCACATGTTTTCACCTTCTTTGGGTAAATACCAAAGAGCATAATTACTGGATCATATGGGGAAAAATATGTTTAGTATTGTAAGAAACTGTCAATTGTTTTCCAAAGCTTCTGTGCCATTTTGCATTCTCACCAGCAATGAACAAGAGCTCCTTTTGCTCCATGCCCTCACCAGCATTTTATACTTTGGATTTTGGTCATTCTAATAAGTGCATAGTGTTATATAATTGGCACCTCAATTTGCAGTTCTCTTATATGACGTTCAACATCTTTTCATGTGTTTATTTGCTATCTGTAAATCTTTTTTGGTAACCTGTCTGTTAAGTTATTTGGCCCATTTTTTAATCTCACTGTTTGTGCTTTATTATTGAGTTTTAAGTGTTCTTTGAATATTTTTGATAACAGTCCTTTATCTGATATGACTTTTGCAAATGTCTTCTGTCAGTCTGTGGCTTGTCCTTTTATCCTCTTTTCATTATCTGTCACAGAGCAGAAACTTTTAATTTTGATGAAGGCCAGCTTATCCATTTTTTTTGTCACAGATTATGCTTTTGATGTTGTATCTAAAAAGTCATCACTAAACCTAAGGTCATCTAGCTTTTCTCCTAAGTTATCTTCTAGAAGTTTTATAGTTTTGCATTTTACATTTAGGTCTGTCATACATTTAGACTTTATTTTTATGAAGAGTGTAAGATTTGTGTCTAAATTCATTTTATTGCATGTGGATGTCCAGTTGTTCCAGCACCATTTGTTGGAAGGATTATTCTTGCTCTCTCATACTACATTTGCTCCTTTGTTAAGGATCAGTTAACTACATTTATGTAGGTCTGTTTCTGGTCTGTGTATTCTGTTCCACCATCTATTTGTCTATCTGTTCACCACTGTTACACTGTCTTGTTTAATGTGGCTCTATAGTATATATTGAAGTTTGGTAGTGTCGATCCTTTAACTTTGTTCTTTTTCAATATTGTGTTGGCTATTCTGGGTCTTTTGCCTCTCCAGGTTGTCAGTTTAGAAGTCAGTTTGTCAGTATCCACAAAATAATTTCCTGGGATTTTGACTGAGATTGAATCAATAGATCAAGTTGAGTAGAACTGGCATCTTGATAATACCAAGTCTTCCTATCCATGAACATGGAATGCCTCTCTGTTTTCTTAGTTCTTTGATTTCTTTCATCAGAGTTTTTTAGTTTTTCTCACATATATCTCCTACATGTTTTAAGATTTATACCTAAGCATTTCATTTTGGGGATGATAAGGTAAATGGTTTTTCAAGTTCATTTGTTCATTGCTGGCATGTAGAAAAGCAGTTGACTTTTGTGTATTAACCTTGTATCTTGCAATCCTGCTATAATCATTTGTTAGTTTCAGAAGTTCCTTTGTCAGTTCTTTTGGATTTTGTACATAGATGATCATATCTTCTGGGAATGAAAACACTTTTATTTTTTCCTTCCAAGTCTGTGTACCCTTGTTTCTTTTCCTTGTCCTGTTGTATTAAGTAGGACTCCAATACAGTAATGAAAAGTAATAGTGAGATGGGACATTCTTGCTTTGTACCTGATCTTAGTGGGAAGCTTTGAGTTTTTCATCATTAAGTATGATGTTAGCTGTATATTTTTGTAGATATTCTTTGTCAAATTGAGGAAGTTTGTGTGTCTTCCATGTTTATTGAATTTTTATCATGAATGGTTGTTGGATTTTGGTCAAGTGCTTTTCTGCATCTACTGATACGAGCATGTGATTTTTCTTCTTTAGCCTGTTGATGTGATAGATTATATTAATATAATTTCTAATGTTTAACTAGCCTTACATACCTGTGAAAAATCCCACTTGGTCATGGTATATAATTCTGTATATTGTTGGATGTGATTTGCTAATATTTGCTAATATTTTGTTGAGGAATTTTCTACCTGTGTTCATGAGAAATATTAGTATTAGGGCAATGCTGGCCTCATGGAAATGACTTAGGAAATTTCCTCTCTGCTTATATCTTTTGAAAGAGATTATAGAAAATTGGTATACTTTCTTCATTACGTGCTGGGTAAAATCCACTAGTGAATCTTTTGGAGTCTGTGCTTTCTGTTTTAGAGGGTCATTAATTATTGGT